CATTTCACAATGAGCTGAAGCTTCTCCAGGACCAAGCTTTCCTCTGCTGCTGTGATGCGGGACATGGTCATACCAGACAGAGAGTCGTGCCTCTTTGGTGGCATTCTGGACGGTGAAGAGTTTTCTGTCTTTGCGGCACCATCGTCAGTCTTCTCTGCGAAGTCCGTTTCGACGCCTTCTTTCAAGACTTGTGAAAGCTCGTCGCCTGACGAAACTGCGACCTCTTCCGTCTTCTTCTTTCGGAACATTGGCTTAATTTGGACCTTGGTGCCAGCCCATCCGCCCTTCTTCACGAGGACATTACGCAGCGATTTCAACTTGGCACGGTCTTCTACGCCAGCTCTCAACGCGACATCTACGGCCTGCAGTACACTGGCCAGAGCGGCCTCTCCTATGAGGAGCACCTCTTCCTGGTGACCCTTGAGTAGTTCAATAAAGGGCGCTGTATGGAAAGTGAACTTGTACTTTTGCTTCGGAGTTCGATCAGCGTGTCGAATGACGGACACGATGCCCTTGAGTTTCCAAGAGTGCTTCGGTGGTGGCGGCGGCACTGGAGTCTCCTCTGCAGGAGGCGCAGCGCCCTCCCCTTGTAGCGAAGGCGCGGCGGATGGAGTCGCTGACCCCGTTCCTGCGGTGGAAGGGACGCTCGCCACTGCAGGATCTACTAGCGGAGGTGGAGGAGGAAGAGTAGGGCTGGTACACGAACTGGTGACAGCAGAGGGGAGTGCACTCTCCGACTTTTGAGGTGGTGCACTCGCTGGTACAGGCTTCGGCTCCTGGGGTAGCTTCTCAGAAACGGCCGACACGTTGGTCACGGACTTGTTCTGCGCCGGTGGCACAGGAATAGGTTGCGAAGCCTCCTTCTCCTTTCCGCGTGATGCCAATGGATCAGTCATATCCGAGGGAGAAGGTGATGGTACGGGAGAGGTGACGCCACCTCTGCGAAGCCTCTCCTTGACAAAGACATCCTTGAGAATGTTGGCGCAGTGGTCATAGTAATCGTCGTTATCCTTGACGAAGCTCCAACCGTTGACGTCGATGACATAGCTCTTGCCGCCAGCCCGCAGGAAGTCGAAGCCGCAAACTCTTTGGCCGAAAGAGGTTGAAATCTTGCTCGCGATTTCCTTCTCTTCAGGCTCCAATGCCGTGACATAGCGCAGCTCCTTGCCGTGCGTGTTTCGTCTGACGACACCGTCGACAACTGGAGATTTCCGAGTCTCTGCGTGGCAGTAATTGGGACCCACAGTGTAGGCTTTGACGTCCTCAGCATTGTCAACTCTCATGAACTTTTCGTAAATGTAACTATTCTCTGGCTCCAGAATAGCGCGAGGAATGTTCAAGTCTGGATCATACTCGGAGCTCTTGTTGCCAATCTTGCGGAACAGCCGGCGAGCACCACCACCGGTGGACTTGGGGAAGTAGATGATGATGTTGTGATCTTCACCGCTGACGGGCTTCTCGACAAAGGGTTTCTTGAGCAGAGCACCGTCGACGCTGAGAATGTCGCCGTCGTCGAGAAGCTCGACCTTGCGGGGAAGCCTATTGTAGCCCAGATCTTCGGCGTCCAAGGTTATACCAGTAATCTCCTTGATATGCTTTGCAGTGTCTGCGGTCAAAAGCTTAGGTCCGCCATCTCGGTTCACCTCGATGCGTTTCGGCGTAGCCACGCCAATTCCGTCTAAAATGTTGAGGCATAGACGACGATCCCAGAGAATCTTCTGCATCGGCACATCGTTGACGCAGAACGGTTTTCTCGCCTTGACGTAGGCAATTGCCTTATCCAGGGGGAAGCCATCCGAATAAAATGAGATGAGGTAATCACTGAGGAAATTGTTAGTACATGTACGCAAGAAAACCACTTTCGTGATGGCCTCGGCGACTATAGATGAATAGGGAGTAGAGTTGAAAGGTTGCCTATGACTGGTCGGGCTTCTGTGAGAGATGGGAGATGTAGTGTGCATGGGTTGAAGGATTGGTGATGCAGAGAGAGGCTATACTGTTTTGGCTCACCGAGCCGTCAGCGAAACATAAGAACTATTCTGACTACTCACCACATGGGCCAATTTTCGACCTCTACATGGCGAAAACAATGGTTAGCAAAAATTTCCGACATAATGCAGCTCCTAGTTTTCCGATTTGCTCAAACCTAGGTTGCTCCTCTCCAGTGAGCGAAACGGCGGCTTACCTTCGTCCAAAATGACCTTGTCACCAAACACAACGACATCGAACTCGCGGTTAGCAATGAGTCGGTTCAGAATGTTTCTGCTAGGCTTGCTGCGGGCCTTGACATCCAAAGCGCAAACTCCAATAACACCCCAAGGCGCTGGCTTGACTGCAGGTGCATTAGAGCTTGTCGGTACACGTTGTCGAGGCGCGCTTGTATCTCTTGACTGACCCTCTTCTTTCTCCTTGTTGTGGTAGGGTCCTCGATCGCTGCTGGGGCTGTGGCTGCTTGCGCCAGTGCTTCCGCTGAACCTGCGCTTGTTGCGGCTGCGGGATCGCGTTGGCTGGGCAGGACGAGGAGGCCGTTTGATTACTTCGTGGTGCGTATGGGTATTGGTTTCGCGCGGCGCCAGGTGATGACCGCCCGGGGCGGCGTTGGCATTCTGACCGTTCGAAGAGGTGGTCACAGTAACGTTGGAGAGCTCGGCACCGGGTTGCGAGGCATTCGTGACTGGTTTTCCTGACGACATGATGCCGGAAACGGAGCGCGAAGGGCCACCGTCGGAGCCGTTTGTCGAAGCAGCAGAGGATTGGGTGGCGGGGACGGAAGTTGGGGCGGCGCCGCGAGCCGAGGCCAGGGAGTAGACAGAAAAGATGCTGGAGACGGATGTGCGCTTGTCCTTGAGGTCGGACTCGGAAGAAAAAGATGATCGGGAGGTGAGGGCGGGTTCGGGGAGGGGGCGATATGGGGCGGTGGAATCTTGCTGGCTAGACCCAGACATGAGGCGTGGGGTACTATCGACCTCGTCGACGTCGGTAAACTGCAAGGCGGAATCGCTCCAGGCTTCGAGCGAGTTGTTGGATTCTCGGCGGGTGCGGCAGAGAGAAGTTCTCGGGCTCTTTAGAGGAATCGAAGAGGGCGGGGGCATGGAAAGGCTAGCAGAGGCAGAGTGGGCGTCGGTCGTTCCAGGCTCGGCATGTCGGCTCTTCCTGCTGGCAGAAGAGGATAGATTGAGGGAATGCGAGACGGAGCGCCCAGGCCTCGATCGCAGAGGAACGTCGGTAGGAGCAGACAAGTTTACTGTCGAATGGGAAGAGGATGACGAAGTTTGGGAAGAGTGAGGGTTGAGGGGAGAAGCAGGCGCGGCGGCAGTGGCAGGGGAAGCAGGATTGGTAGCGGTAGCCGAGCGTGCACTATCTACGGATCGTCGAGTGTTAAAATTCGGTCGGTCCATGTTGCCAGATGCGCCCAGAGGCGATGGAGAGACCTTTCAGACGCGCACTGATCAGATGGAAGGTATTGGAGGGGCGGCTGCTGACTCGACGATTGCTGGGCCTGGGTCGTAGACGCTACAACCTTGCAGTTTTCTCTCTCTCTTTTTTCTTTCTTTCTTGTTTGCTTTGTTGCTTTGTTCTCTGGTTGGTTCGTACCGTATTCGTACCTTGATTGCAAGAATTGGAGGGCGAGCAAGGTAGGAATACAGCGACCCAGCGATCAGGGTGCTGGAACCTCTCAAGGTGAAAGAGCGCAAGACAGGATGGAAGATGAGGGGTTTCCACCGGACGAGAAAAAGTGGCAGACTTTTTTTTTGGGTTTCTTAAATGACGTGAAGTCTACAGCGAGAAATTTGGAGTTTGGAGTAGTTGGAGTTGAGGGCTCGCTGTTACATCCAGATGAAAAAGGTTATTATCATTGGGCAAGAAAGGTACCGTCCGAATGGCAGATAAAGAAGCGACGCCAGAACGTGGGCGTGCAGCACCTCCTGCGTGGCCTTCCCATTGGACGACCGAGGTTAGAGAATGGCAAGCAATCGTAACAGACCACAGAGCCCTGTCCCTGTCTTCTTTTCTCCCTACTACGTACACATGAAAGAGCCAGTAACTTACTAGCTCCTGCTTCTCCCGTGTTCGCGCGCCGAAAGAGCGATTGCGAGACCACCAAGGCCTAGGTAGTTGTTGCCGCGATCGTGATGATGTATGTAGCTGTGTGCCGTGAGACAAGGTGGCGGGGCGGCGGCTGTAGGCACAAGCGAGAGCAGCTCACACTGTAGCAGAGGGACTTTCTAGAAATCCCACAAGCCAAGACATGGCACTCGAGAGAATGCAACGAGGGAGAAGTCAAAACGTTCTAGATGCAGGCATGGCAGAAGCAAGGATGACGTTGGAGGCGGGCACACAGACGGCTGACGGGTGAAGAAGAGGTGGGGGGCTAGCAATACCAACCGAGACCTTGGAAATGCTCAGGTAAGGTAGGTTTCTTACCTTATGCAGCCAGCGCTTGACAGCTGGACCTGTTCACTAAACGTTGTCAAGCTGGAGGCTTCCGGCGAATCATGAAGCTGAATGCAGCTTCTGACACCTCGAGCCTCAATCAATGGCGCCTTACTACTTGACCTTAGTCTCCCACCCCTCTTCCGCACATGCACGATAAGGTTGTCCCAAATCCAAAGACTGGATGAAAAGTTCTAGGCTCTGCTGCTGGCGAACGCAACATCAACTTGTAATACCCAGCAATGGTCGTGATTTCATAACATGGTCCTCCACACAGTCCAATATCCAAACTCCATGGAGCCGATCGAGCACCCAAGAAGAGGTGCATATCATGGTCTACAGTGACTACGGTTCGGTGGAAGAACTTTGTCAACTACCTACTACTGGTTTACGTGGCGCCCTCTACAGAGTATATGAGGTGATTGATGATCATCTTCCTGAAGGGCATTCCAATGACTTTTAGTCTAGGAATGAGTCAGCCGTTTTGGGAAACTCGCAGGAGGAGATGCAGAACCAATCAGGTCATCTCAATTGAACCTGCCCCGCGCCCCTCAATCGTCAATGGCGGGGCCAAAGACACCTGTCGGCTAAAGCCCGGCGAATCTCTGATTGCGATAAGATAAGGCACGTCTGTTCGAAAAGATTGGAAAAAAAATCTCGGGCGACGACTCGACAGACAGTATCTCAGGGCCTTGAACGAACCGCAAAAGGCGTTCGAGTCCGCCAAGTCCACATGCTCGCCACAATGCCTCACTCGGAACAAGAAGGGCCTCTGGTCAAGCGACAGAAGCTTACTGTCGCCTCCAAGCCTGCCACCGCGACACGTCAATCCTCGCGCATCTTTGCGCCTTTCCGAGTATGTCTTTTGAATACTGATGATCCAGGTCTTCCAATGCTAATGCCAATGCTTTCTCCCAGACTGTCGGCCTCGTCTCCCCCACAAACGTCCCCTTTACTTCGATTCCCCTCGGAAAGACGACTTTTCAAATCACGACATCCGTCGGAAGAGCCCTTCAGACCTACGATTTAAAGAGAGGTCTCAACCTAGTCTTCGTTACTCGTCCCCAGACCCCAGCCGACATCACCACGACGCTCGCATGGAAGGACAAGGTCTTCGCCGCATGGGGCGACGCCAGGAAGGGCGAGAAGCAAGGACTTTGGGCATTCAAACGTGGAAAGAAGGTTGAGGAGCTCGAGCTCCCCGAAGACCTCAACGAGCCTATTCAACAGATCCTCATCTTCGGCTCCTGGATTGTTGCATGCGCTGTGACGAGACTCGAGGTTTGGAAGTCGGCCACCCTGGAGCACTACACCACACTCTACACCATGGCTGGCAAGTCGGGCGCCAACGAGATCACGGGCGGGGTCACGAATATGCCGACCTACCTGAACAAGATCTTTGTTGGTCGCAAGGACGGCTGGGTCGAAATCTGGAACGTCAGCACCGGCAAACTCATCTACACCATTCTCCCTCCGAACCCCGACTGCGGCGCTGTTACCTGCATGCAGTCCACCACAGCCTTGTCACTCCTTGCCATTGCCTACGCGAACGGCAACCTGGTGATCCAGAACATCCTGACCGATAAGCCAATTATCCAACTCAAGGCCGGCCACGACGATGAACCCGTTACTTCCATCTCTTTCAGATCTGACGGCATGGGAGCAGGTCACGACGGCCGCAAGGACGGTGTCATGGCAACCGCTACCGCTGCCACAGGAGACGTCACGTTCTGGGACCTAAACAATGGAGGCAGGGTTATGGGTGTTCTGAGGAGTGCGCACAACCCCCCGTCCGGCGACGGTCCGTTGGTACGAGGAGGGATTAGCAAGGTTGAGTTCCTGCCAGGTCAGCCGGTTGTTGTTACCAGTGGACGGGACAACGCGCTCAAGACGTGGATCTTTGACGAGACTCCCTTCTCCGCCATTCCGCGTATCTTGCACCAGCGCAGCGGCCATGCCGCACCCGTCAAGTGCTTGGAGTTCCTCCCCTCCGACTTTGATGGAGCCGATGCAGGCAACAAGTGGCTCCTCAGTGGTGGTCAAGATCGTAGTCTTTGGGGATGGAGTATGCGACGTGATGGTCAGAGCACCGAGCTCAGCCAAGGAAACATCCGCAAGCTGGCAAAGAAGACTGGTATCCTTTCTGCAAAGGCGATGGCCAGGGGCCCTACGACGACTCTGGAAGATCTCAAGGCCCCCGAGATTACCTGCATCGCCAGCTCTCTCAACCGTGACGGTGGTATTGGCGCCTTGCCCGGCAACCAGCCCATCTGGCAGAAGCATAGGGAGAACAAGAAGAAGCTCGATGCCGAAGTCAGCGGCTCGACTGGCTGGGAGAGCGTCGTGACGGCACACAAGGACGACGCTTGGGCGCGTACATGGTTCTGGGGTCGCAAGAGAGCTGGGCGGTGGGCATTCCCCACGGGCGACGGCTCTTTTGTCTCTACCATCGCCATCAGTCCCTGCGGTACTTTCGCTCTGGTCGGTTCCGTAGAGGGCAGCATCGATATGTACAACTTGCAGTCCGGCATTCATCGCCAGCGCTTCCCGTCTAAGCTCACCCCCGCCCAAGCGAGAGCGCTGAAGATTCAGCAGCTGAAGCAGGCCGACGATGTTGTGCAGCTTCACACCGAGAAGAACAGTGACTTTGCGCCCGGCACAGGAAGACACACAAAGGCAGTAACGGGTATTGTGGTGGACTCGATGAACAAGAACGTCATCACCTGCTCCCTGGACGGCAAGATCAAGTTCTGGGATTTTGTCACGGGTAACCTCGTGCATCAGATCAACTGGGCGCCGATGGCCGCCATCACCGGGTGCCGATACCACGCCGCAAACGACCTCATGGCCTTCACCTGCGACGACAACTCGGTCCGCGTCGTCGACCTGGAGACGAAGAGGACAATCAGAGAGTTCTGGGGCTGCCAGGACACCATCAACGACTTTTGCTTCTCCAACGACGGCCGCTGGATCATCGCTGCTTCACAGGACCGCGTCGTTAGAATATGGGACTTGCCTACCAGCCATCTCATCGACGCCATCCGCCTCGAAAAGCCCTGCACCGCGCTGGCCATGTCTTCCTCAGGCGAGTACCTCGCCGCCACGATCGAGAACGAGCTCGGCGTCGCCATTTGGACCAACAAGTCCCTCTTCACGCACGTCCCGACGCGGCAGATCTCGGACAAGGAGGCCGCGCTGCTCACGGGACCCACGACGTCCGGCGAAGGCAACGAGGGTCTGCTGGAGGCGGCTTTCACCGAAGACGGTGACGCGGACGCGGAGGACGAGACCGTCGTGGCGCCGACGGTCGATCAGCTCAGCGCCGAGCTGACGACGCTGTCCCTGGTCCCCAAGAGCCGCTGGCAGACGCTGCTCCACCTGGACCTAATCAAGCAGCGCAACAAGCCGACCGAGGCCCCCAAGGCCCCCGAGAAGGCGCCCTTCTTCCTGCCCTCTGTCGGCGCCGGGAAGCAGCCGCAGCAGTCACTCATCGAAGGCGCCGCGGCACCCGAAGCCGATGCCGCAACGGAGGCAAAGTCCCGCATCACCAAGCTCGAGCGCGGCCGTATGCAAGAAGCGTTTACGAGCAAGCTGGACGACGGCGCAGCCTCGGGAGACTGTAAGATGAATTTTTCCTTCTTTGAAACCCCCACTCACCCGTCTACAATACGTAAAAGAAAGAAGAAGCTAACATGTAAACCAGTCGACGATTTCATCACCCACCTCAAATCCCTCTCCCCCTCGACGGCAGACCTCGAGCTCCGCTCCCTCTCGCCCGAGGACGGCGGCCTCCTCAACTTCATCCGCGCGCTGACGAGCCGCCTCGCAGCCCGCCGCGACTACGAGCTCGTCCAGGCCTGGATGACGGTGTTCTTGCGCCTGCACTTTGACCTCGTCATGGCCGACGCGGAGCTGCTGGAGGCGCTGGGCGAGTGGAAGACGCTGCAGGCGCGGGAGGCCGGGCGGCTGGACGATCTGGTCGGGTACTGTAGCGGTGTCGTCGGGTTCTTGCGGAGCCCTAGGACGTAAGGAGGGGAAGAGAGAGAGAGTGTGTGTAAGGGGACGGGACCAAAAAGCGTTTGTATTTATCTGTTGTCATCTTGTGAAAAGATTTGGGACATGGAGGTCATGGAAGTTGTGTGTCTTGAAAAAGGAGGAAAGGCGCCATTCCGTGTAGAGAGAATTGTCTGGCGAGATGGATGAATCAATCTTAATACCCACCAAACGGCACCCAAGAGCAACCTGCTTCTCGATGTTCACTCTCAATGCCCATCAATCGGTCTCTTCACTGCTCCCACTCTCCCCCATCACAAACTGATGTGAAGAAGACTGTAGCAATTGGAAGCCGAACAACCAATCTATCTGCACATCACCAGTACGTAAGCAGCTACCTGAGCGAGTTGCTCCCAATACCACCGTGACGCAAACTCGCATGAACCCGGCAACTTCAAGCCGAAGCCAGTTCTCCAGAAATTCAGGCATCATCGAAACTTTACGGCTCGCGCTCTCTTCTGGAATACGCAAAAAGTAAAAACGACCCGGTCATCCGGTTCCGCCAAGGAGAATACTGAACCCCACGGGGGAAGGACCCCAATACGTGGGAAATTATATCGGGGAACCGAAAGGCGGGACCAACCAGTGTCCCTCGACACGTTGTTACACCGACGCAACCTGAACACACGGCAAGCCGGCCGCAATGCTGGGATGGGGGGGAGAAGGTAGGCGGGCGATCCTTTTCACTTACTCACCGTTCACCTCAAGTTTCCAGGGGGGCAGGCAAGTTGCTCGGTTCCTGCAGACGAAAGAAAAGGATTAAGAATCCGACTAAATCATGGAAACGAAATAACGCTCCTTGGCCGAGGGCGGTGACTTGTTAGCCTCAAAAGTCTGCCAATCTTTGGGGTTCCTTGGCCGCCATGGGCCCGGCTCGCCTCGGCGAAGAGGGCACCGAAGTCAAGGCGGAGATCGGCGGAGGATGCGGTGGGCTTTTTTTGCGGGTGGTCTGGGGGAAAAGTTGGGCGGCGTGCGGAGAAGGTCCCAACGACACCAAAGGTAAATTACCTACCCCAGACTTTTTGAAAAAGAATTGGGCCATGTCATTCGCCCGCCAGTCCGGACCTCAATTTCTCCACGCAGACATGGTCGTCCTTGCATGTCAGAAGAGTCCATCACGGATTCTACGTTTCCACTGCGTGTGTTTCTCTCAGGTACGCCAAACAAAGGACGGACGGCCTTCCCCGCATCTTTCTCTCTCTCGGTCTCTGTCTTGCTGACGTACTTATCCAGCTTCGCTACCTATCTGGCAATCTCTGCATATCTATCCGAGGATCCGTAACCCCCCCTCGTTCGGATCCGGATGGATACATCCCAACCTAACCCTGCGACTTGCGGGGAGGGCCTGCCAGCCTAAATATGTCGCTGGGGGGTCATGGGGTTGTATTCTCCCCCCTCCAAGAAAAATAAACAGATTCCGGAGATGAGATGCCCGAGATCCTCCCTCTCCTACACACCAACGACTCGCCCAAGAGGGCCGGCCCCGTCATGAACGGGGTGCCTCGGGAGAATAGCCTGCGTTCATAAAAAGGCGAAGCATCATCCTCTCTGATGCTACTCCCATTCTCGGTCTCCTCTTCTTGCTGGCCAGGCAAGCGAAGAGCAGAAGTTCCGACGAGAACATCGAGTCGAACGAAAAACCTCTCGCCGGTCCCCTTGTTTCCGCTAGTCGTCGGGCGAGCAGCTCTACCGTGACCCCAAAGCTCGTAAGACTTCTACACCACCACAAGATGCGTGTCTCCTCCCTCCGTGGCGCCGCTCTAGGCACAGCCTTCGCCGTCCTCGCGACCGGCGCAAGAGCAGCTCTCAACGCGACAGAGACCTCCAACCGCCTCATCATCGCAAACGACCGCCTCTACGCCGCCGTCTCGAAGCCCGGCGGCGCCGTCGTGGAACTCACCCTCGACGGCGTCAACCTCCTCGGCACCGCCTCCGGCGCGACCGGCCAAGGGCCGTACCTAGACTGCTACTGCACCCCGCAAGGCTTCTGGACGCCCGGCACCGTGAAGCCCACGTTCCAGCTCTACTCCGGCACCGACTCCGCCGGCGTAGCTTACGGCGGCGTCAAGATGTCAGACACCTACGCCTCGACGGGCCAGGTCCTCGAGCAGTACTGGTTCCTCCGCGACGGCGAGACGGGCCTGCACATGTTCAGCCGCGTCGCCTACCACAACGAGACGGCGCCCTTCTTGCGAAACCTCCAGGAGCTGAGGACTCTGTTCCGCCCCAACGATCCCATGTGGACGCACCTCCTCACCAACCCGACGCAGTACGCGCCCCTCCCCTCAAAGGACGCCGTCGCCCAGCAGGTCGTCGTCCAGGACGCGACGTGGTACCTAGGCAACACCCCGCAAGACCCCTACGTCCAGGAGGAAGCCGACTGGTTCACGAAATACACCTTCCAAGACACCTGGCGCGACGTCGACGCCTACGGCATGTTCGCCGACGGCTCCAAGACGGCCGACGGCTCAGCGTTCGGCGCATGGATGGTCTTCAATACGCGCGACACCTACTTCGGCGGCCCCCTGCACTCGGACCTGACGGTCGACGGCATCGTCTACAACTACATCTCGTCCAACCACCACGGCGACCAGACGCCCAACATCACAAACGGCTTCGACCGCACCTTTGGCCCGCAGTACTACCACTTCAACAAGGGCCCCGCGGGCACCTCCATCCTCGACCTCCACGCCGACGCCGCCAAGCTCGCCGACCCGACGTGGAACGCGGACTTTTACGACGACATTGCCCACCTCGTCCCCAACTACGTCCCCTCCACGCAGCGCACCACCTGGAAGCTGCACGTCGACCTCCCCGAGGGCGTGACGAAGCCCATCGCCGTGCTGGCGCAGAACGGCGTCGACTTCCAGGACAACGTCTTCGACACAAAAGCCTACCAATACTGGACCGACATCGACGCCCAAGGCTACGCCACGATCCCGCGCGTGAAAGAGGGGACCTACCGCCTCACAATCTACGGCGACGGCATCTTTGGCCAATACATCAAGGACGACGTCAAAATCGTCGCCGGCAAAATCGACACCACCCACGCGCGCTGGCGCGAGGAGACATCCGGCACGGAAGTCTTCCGCATCGGCACCCCCGACAAGTCCTCGGGCGAATACCGCCACGGCTTCGCCCGCGACACCACCAAGCCCCGCACGCCGGAGGAATACCGCATCTACTGGGCGCGCTACGACTTCCCCACCGAGTTCCCGGACGGCGTCCGCTTCCGCGTCGGCGAGGACGACGTCGCGCAGGACCTCAATTACGTGCACTGGGCGGCGTTCGGCGGCAAGGGGAACTCGCTCCGCCCGGACCTCTACCTCGGCGACGGCAACGTCAACAACTGGACCCTCGTCTTCGACCTCGACGAGGCGGCTGTGAAGCAGAAGCGCTACGGCACCTTTACTGTGCAGCTCGCGGGCGCCAAGACGGCGGCGGGCAACACGGATGTGTACAACGCGAGCGAGCCGCACGCCAACTTGAAGTACACCGTCAACGTCAACGGAAAGGACCTGGAGCCGTGGGTGATTCCGTATTACCAGAGCAGCTCGTGCGCGGTGCGGTCCGCGGTGGTGTGCTACAACGTCGCCAACAAGTTTGTCTTTGACTCGAAGCTGCTGAAGGCGGGCGTGAACGAGATCGTCCTGAGCTTGCCGTACGGCGCGACGAATTACGAGAGCGCCGTGCTTACGCCTGCTATTTACGTGCAGTATGATGCGCTGCGGTTGGAGATCAAGTAAACAAAATCCGTCGTTTGAAGGTTTAGATATGGGATGGGGCCTTTTTAGTAGATGCAATAAGCGAGGCGAGATCAACGATATCAATAAAGTATAACATTTAATTCATCAGACAACCGTCTCTCTCTCTCACTGTCCGGTTTTGGAAAGAGAAAGTGTAAAATGGAAAGCTTTGACTCTGTGCCGAAGAGCCGGGTCCTGACTAGACGGGTAAAGAATCATTGAACGAACGCAAGCAAGAGCAACAGTTTGAAAAAAAGAGGCTGAGTCTGATTCGCAGTAGGGACGAAAAGAGGTGAATGCAGGTTTGGGGTTTGGCACCGCCGCGCGGTCGGATGTAAAACGGTTTGTTTCAAGACGTTGTTGACTGTCAAGAAAAGAAAAAGGTGGGAGCGTCGTGTTTTGCGATAAGGCCCGGACCGCAAGCAGCCACGAGTACGCGTAAGAAACCCCCAAGGTGAGTAGAAACTAGAGATTGTGAAATTGGTGGTGATGGTGATGGTGTACTTACCCAGGCCCAGGAGTAGGAGGCAGGGGCGTGTTTGGGCCTGCGATTTGGTTCATACCGTGGGCGTCGCATAGAAGTGGAAATTCTGTACGAAGAGATGGAGTTTTTGTCGATTGACGTACGGAGTACGGAGTGTTCTCGCGTGCTATGTGCGACCCAACAATCAGGGTTTCAAAGCTGTTGAACCTTGCTCAATGATATTTCTCTCTACCATTTTGATACTGGCTGTTCAGTCTGTCTTTGAAATGAGTGTGGCTGAAATATCTGATGCCAAGTGGTGATGCTTTTCTCATGAATGTGAAGATCAATGTTTACCCAATGTAAAAGAAGGAGGACAAAGTCTCAAACCAAGCCAAGTTGTCGGGTTCGTGCTCCAAGGGCGGTTTGGAACTCGCGGCGTTTCTTGAATCGCGGGAGAGCTACGTTGGACCGGCCTCAGAGGGTTGCGCTCGTGTTCAAGTCGCACCAATATCTGGGCTTGGTAATTAGTTTCTCGGCCGGATGAGCTTCCGTAGAGGGCCTGGGAAACGTCGCATTCCGATAACCGACTCGTAGTCCGTGAAAGGGATGATGCTCCGAGAAATGCAGAAACCTGCGGAACCAAAGAGTTTCGTCAAACGCCGCCTTTGCCGAATCTTTTCCAATAGCTGAATCTGATGCTCTGAACAGCGTACAGCGTGAGGTAGCTGGTAGTTTCTTGTCTTGGCCGGGCGTAACCCGGCCATACAGTTGCTAAAGTCCCTAGATAGACAACACTAACACTGCCCACCCGGCCCCCAAATCTGCATGTAAGTGCAGACGGCAGGCTGCGCCAGGCAAATCGTAGGATTTCGCGACGTAAGTGCCGCGGCCAAGGCTAAACGTATGCCGTGCAACGGTGAGCTGGTGCTCGGTATGCATCAAATTCAAGGTTGGGCGGCAGAAGAAGCGGACGTACTAGGCCTTCGCCGGCAAAAGATCGCCGGGCTGGACAGAAGCTGTAGTCTGTACGCCCAATATGACGGTCGGTAGGGCTGCCCACCTGCACGCAGCTATCTAGAAGGGACTTTGGAGCGATGCTGTGCCTGTACCTGGCTAGCTCTTAGGCTCTCCAGAATGAGTGAATGATCGTCCGGCTGCGCTGAGCAAGGCTGATGGGGCGTAATGTTGCATATGCTGTCTCTGACCAAAGATCATTCCTCTGATTATCGATTCGTGCCCGTGAAATCCCTCACCCAAAGAACTTTGGGCAGATGACGAGAATAGTATCAACAACCGTGGTATCACCGTCTCGTCATCGCTGCCTACAGTGAGAACCTGAGTTAGGCAGCACTTTTTGCTCGAAGGATGATAGTTGGTTGGCTTCGATCCATCCAAAAGATGCACCTTTGGGCCGCAGGCTCCGGGCCGCCTTGAATGTCGGTGTGACCTCTCATGTTCGAATGCCGAAACCAAAGTGATCGCCAGAGCATTGAGCAAGGTCACGGCTCCATTGAGGCTGATTCGTGATCTTCCCTCATCGTAGCATTGCTCTTGTTCTGCACAGGGTCACTTGGCCGCCAGTACTGCGACCCTGCCACGTCGAGCATGCTGATTCGAAAGACGAGAGCTTTGTTGTCGCAAAGAGAAGAAGAGAGGCTGTTCTGATGCCAAAAACCATCATGACTGTTGTCATCCAAAGCTCCAGGTTCAACATCGGCTCCCACCTGCAGGTTGCGGGCCAGCTCGTGGTGCGAGGTGGTCCCCGGCAGTGGGAATGCGAGAAATGCCCCTCCATCCCCGCTGTCAGCTCGGGTCGTCAGCCACCCCCCGGGACCAGGGTGGCACTGATGCCTCTGGTGTCTTTGCTGGCATGTCTCTGGTGTTCTGCATGTCGAGGTAATCTTGTTGAGCTCCTCGAAACAAAGCGAGCCCTGGCTCCCCGTCTCGCCAGTCGACACTCAGGAGAAGGACGGTACGGATACTTCGTAAAGAATTTTCCATGGCGCTCCACCGCATTGAGGATCAGCCTCTGCGCCGCTGCCGTGGGAAATAAGCTGTCAAGCGACGAATTGGCGACGTCGACGCCAGGGCCTGCAGTTCTTGGACGGTTCTTGGTCAGTCTTGGATGACGAGCCGTACTCTATGAACATGATTTTGCCAATATTTGACTGCACGCCGCAGTCATGCGCATGGGAGGACAAGGTTCGCGGACTTTTGTCAATAGTCGGTCTGAATCGGACTGTCATCTGAGTCTGGAGCCCCTTCATCGTCCACAAGCTTGATGATCCCTCCTGCTCGGCTACGTCAGCGGAGCAATAACTCTGGGTGAACGATGTGGTGATGATGCATCCATGAGGCGAACGAATTGATCCCGAGGCTGCGATGCTGTGCAATGACTGAAAGGATGACTCGGAGTGAGTGAACAGACATGACAATAAAGCGCAGATCTAGAATGCGAGTCTGGATCATGGGAATGAATCACAGCAGTCGGAGCTTGTTGGTGGGCAAGTGTAACGTGCGACCTCATCATGAGGGGTCTCTGTGGATGTTACCCTGATCATGCTGGAATAGATGCCTCAGATATTCGCGGATCAGCATCCTTTGGGATTTCGTAGCTGTCCTAGGCGTTCCTAGTCAGATTGAGCTGCCCGTTGCATATCGGAGTACAACTCTATGAGGGTGGAGAGCAAGGTGTACCATCGTAGGGGAAAGACGCAAAGGAATGTGTACGGAAGAGAAGGGGAAAAAAGATACGTCCCCCTCTTACACCAGGAGCTTCAGGTAACTCTGAGGACCAGACGATTCGACCAAGAAGGAATGGAGGAGGAAACTAAGGAAAGACCCGCACGTGGCGGTGCGCGATGTGCAGATTTTCCCAATTAGGGGCTGCAGATGTCAGGGTATCCCCTCCTGCCCGGGGGCCAGTCCCAGGTGTCCCAGCCAAGAGACCCAAGACTGAAGGGGGACATGGGGCTTGCAACACGCTTTAAGCCCCTGGTCATAGCACCCCGTGGCTAATGGAAGGCCCGGATACCGATCTCTGGTTCCTGGGCGTTGGAACTTGGCGCCGCTGTGAGTGTGACAGTCTCACAGTCTCACTGCTCAGTGCTCACAGCTCAGGCGCTGGCTCGATGGGTTCGGGTTCAAGGTTCGTCACAAGTGCCTTATCGCCCGATAAGCGGTCCGGTACAGTACGTACCTCAAGCCCGGATGGGACAAACCACCAGGTACCTCGCAAAGTACCTTGTACCGCAGACGCAGTTGGTGCGGTCTCGCGCCGCCCTCCAACACAGCATAACGTACAATCTTGTCTGAAACACCATCTACCGCCAGTCACCTTTACACATTCAGCTCTCAAGCTCCCCATCCCCAAAAGACTCCAACGACTCCCAAGCAACCAAGACTCTCAAAGAGTCTCCGAGCTGGCGGTAGACCCTCGTCCCGTTCGAATCTCTCCCAATGAACGACAGCGCTTACCGACCCGCTCGCTCTCCAAGGAACCGCTGTTCAAACGCCCTTGTCTTGCCTTGCCCCTTTTGCTATCTGTACTTCCCGAGTTTGCTCTTTTACCCTTTGCCCTTTGCTACGGAATACGGCTGCTCGGTACTTGCGACTCTTCGCGCTTTGCCTCTCTGGTCATCATCTCATCCCATGCTCCTTGGTTCTTCCTCCTTCTCTTCCCAGATACACCAACTGGCCACCACAGTCTGACCCCTGACTGTGATCTTCGTACTTCTTTGCCGGGTGGCCCCTGTCAGGGCGCAGCCGCGTGCGATGTGCTGGCTCGACGAGAAGGCAGCTCCTGATCCCAACATCAGATGAAGCCTTGTTTTGTTTTGTGCTTGTTTCCAGGCTGCGAGTAAAGACACACGCAAAAAGGATCATGGCGCTGTCATCGCAGGATCAGGACGTTGGCAAAAGCCGCGCCTGCGCCAGCTCCTGCTTACATGTATCCTTTCCTTCCTCTTCCTCGTCATCCCACCTCGACGCTGATCTTCACCTTGACGACATCTCCGCTTCTTCCAACCCATCATCTTCATGCTTCCATTCCTGTTGCTGCCACTTCCGCCCCAGCTTTCCACTTTCTCAGAGCCCTGCTACCAAGATTGCCGTCCAGGATCAGCATTACCGTCCCTCCTCATCGCCTTGTCCGTACCCGCCTTCTTCCCACCACCTCCATTACTGCTGTGCCGGTCCACCAGTTCGGAGGAAACCTGGACAAGGGGCACATGGACCGAAATCCTCGCCCGCTCCTGATATATTTAACATCCCGGTCCTTCTCTACCGAAAGTGGCCTCTCCTTGCCCTCGCCATTGCAACTAATACATATATCCTCCTCCACTACTCCCCTCACTTCTCTACCTCGAGCAGAGAAGAAGACCAGACGAACTGTTCCGCCTCCTTAGTCAACTCCTTATACTTAATAATCATCAACATGGTCGCCAACGTTGGAGGGCTCGCAGCTCGGGCAGTCTTTCTCATGTCCACTCGGCCTATTGCCCAGAGAGCAGACGTCGCCTCGTACACCAATAATGCCGTTGCCGCCATTCGCACTCTCGAATCTACCTGGTACGATGTTGGCTCTGGTCTTTGGGACAACGCCTGGTGGAACAGTGCCAACGCCTTCACCACCCTCGCCGACTTCGCCAACCTGAACCGGGATGCTGCTAACGAGCTTAATATCGGAGGCATCCTCATGAACACATTCCAGCAGGCTCAGAAGGCCACAGCATCGGCTTCCAAGTCTATCAACGCCGCTGGCCTTGTCACAACCTCGTACGCCATCACCAAGCGCGAGGTACCGCTGCCTATCGAAGGTCGTCAGATGAGCGCTCAGGGCTTTCCCAACTTCATCAACGAGTTTTATGACGACGAAGGCTGGTGGGCGCTCGGCCTGATCCGCGCCTACGATGTTACCCAGAACCAAGACTACCTCGACATGGCCGTGCGCATCTTTGCAGATATGAAGACCGGCGGTAATACCAACTGCAATGGCGGCATCTACTGGAGCAAGGACCGCAAGTACGTCAACGCCATCGCCAACGAGCTCTACCTCAGCGTCGCCGCCTCGCTGGCCAACCGCATCTCGGGCGATAAGGCCAGCTACCTCAAGATCGCGACTGATCAGTGGACCTGGTTCAAGGCCACCGGCATGATCAACGCCCAGGGCACCATCAACGACGGCTTGGACGGCAACTGCAAGAACAACGGCGCCAACGTGTGGTCTTACAACCAAGGTGTCGTTCTCGGCGGTCTCGTCGAGCTCAGCAAGGCTAATGGCGACAAGTCGGTCCTGACAGACGCCACCAACATTGCCAAGGCGGCCATCAAGCAGCTGGCCGACGACAACGGCATCCTGCACGACACGTGCGAGCCCAACTGCGGCTCCGACGGCAACCAGTTCAAGGGCATCTTTGTTCGCAACCTGCGATACCTACAAGAAGCGGCGCCCAACAACGACTTCAAGACCTTCATCACCAAAAACGCCGACAGCAACTGGAACGCCAACCGCGACTCTGCTGGCAAGATGGGTGTCGTCTGGTCGGGCCCCGCGCAAGGCGTTTCCGGGCCGACTCACAGCTCAGCACTCGACTCCATTGTTGCCGCCGTTGCCGTCGCGTGAGCGGGACTTCTTTTGAGAGATTAATCGTCCTCAGACCTTTCGGATCGACATCACCATCATCGGGCAGGCGTTGGAAATTTTGCTTTACTTCACATGGCCGCTCTGCAACACACTCCTTCTTTCTAATTGGGCGCAGGGGGAAAACGGCAACGAACGGATTAGACTTGATCAAGAACGGGATACCCCTCAGAACACACGGACACTCCTTTGATGCCCCGAGCTGAGGAAGACAAGAGCAGCTCGGGCGGCGCACAGGAAAGTTTTGCTTATTGTTAATAATGACTCTAATGAGTAATGATACCATAGTCTCGTTTTGGATAGTCCTTTGCTTAGGCTTGCACGGGGGCAAGCGAACATATTGAGGCAGAGACGTGTTAGAGATAATACTACATGATCTTCCACCGCATACATGCACTATTTGATGATCACCAGTTCTGCGAGACTCATGACTTCACTAAAACTGATGGTCGCCCTCCATGGATCCACAGGAGAACTCCCTCGAGCTAGGTCGCCATCGACTAAAGGAGAGATTCTAGAAGGACTGAGCTTCAAGGGGTGTCTCCACGGTGGTATCGGCGCGGGAGTTTAAATTGAGGGCTGATGCAAAAACTTTCGAGAGTCCAAAAAGGAGATCTTCCGGAACGATCATCCGTTGGTTCGTTGGCTCGTTCGCTCGGGGCTGTGAGCCGGTTGTGTAGGTAGTAATAACACTCAATATGCGAAAGAAAGTTATTTCTGGCGCATTGCTGATCGCTTCCGCTTTAAATTACCCACGGGAGATCGTTCGGGGGGAGATCGGTTGGTTGGTTTTCGGTGGTTTATTATGCGGGGGAAATCGAAATTGTAGACCATCGCGGGTTGTGTTTCCCCCCTTGTTCCTGTCAGGCAAAGCCTCTTTTTTCTTCTTTTTGGTATTAGGGACGAGATCCTGGCTTGACACAGGAAGGATGAGCGGCCTCCATGTTAGGATGGTTTGTAAGGTATTCATGCTCGTGTGCCGTTTCTTCTTCGCATGACGGCTTGTCAGTTCATCCTTTTTCCTTTGGCATCTGCTGCCGTCCTACCTTTTTTTGAGCAACTTGCTTGAAGGAATGTATTGAAGCTCAGACTACCTTACTCAGTACAGTCGTCGACCAATGCCACTTGATGATGCTTATAGGCATATTTGATCCCATCATGTTGAGGTGCAGTATTATGTATTAAAACACTATATACGAAGGTGGGGTGAAGTCTTGGCTCCCCAAGTTCCTGTGGGGGGCTCTGACTTCAGATATCCCTGCAGAGGCAGTCAATGATCCGCGCATCCTCCCATCTCCAACAACACATGGCACCAGCCAGCCTGCAAAGCCAGAACTCTGTCCGACGCTGACACTCAAGCCACAGCTTCAGAATGATACACAACGCGCGTATTCTCAACCAAAGAGAAAAGACAAGAGAAGTCCCCACTTGTCAAAACTTTTTGAAAAACCTCGCTTTCGGAGCTTGCGACATCTCATCCTCCACTCTGCCCCCCATCCGGTCCGTTCCGGTTGGAAGACGGAGCTGAAGCTCCCGTCGCTCACACAACATGCCAATAATTTGACGCAGTGAGACATCACTCTGGCGCGTATTTTACCTAAGGCAAGGTACGACGAGGCGATGGGGTTAAGGTAGGTAAAGTTATGTGCGTTCGCGCCAATAGCTGCAGTAGTCCATGACGTAAGGTATACTTTTATCAACCCAAGTGAGCGGTGCGTCGGAGCCTTCGGGAAGAAGGTCATCATGATACCTATGCCCGCGTACGCGTGTAGGTAGGTGTTTGTGTGCGAGAGAGAGAAACTCCGTACCTGCCACACTTTTTTTTTTTTCAATTCCGCATTCCTCAGCCCGCCGTGTATCCTGGGACGAAGATTGGGACACGCAGCGCGAAAGGTTGTTTCATCCCTTCCTAACCCATCTTCACCTGTCCAACCGAGCTGGCTTTCCCATCCCAATTGGATGTCGTTGCTTGCTGCTGTTCCAAACCTGCGACGGCGTTACGCAGCGAACTCGCCGTCTCATCTTCGGTCCCAGCGACCTACCTGCTTACACTTTCCCGTCTTCTTCTGATCCCATCACCTTCTAGTGAAGCAATACTCCATTCAAAGGGCCAACCCAGGCACCACCGCGACCATGAAAGCCGCCTCAGCCGACCCCTTTGGCCAGATCCTCAAGGATCTAGTCCTCATCGTCATCAGCATCGCCTTCATCCCTTTGACAACGATCATCCTCGCCCTAAGCTATGCGTGGCAGCGCTTCCTGCGTCCCGGCCAGGCCTTCGATCCCGCCGCCGCCACGGACCGCCAGCAGCAGCAGCGCCGCACCATCCTCGTCACCGGCGTCGGCATGACAAAGGGCCTCACCCTCGCACGACTGTTCCACCAAGCCGGTCACCGCGTCGTTGGCGCCGACTTCTCCCCCCACGCCTGCGGCAGCCGGTCCGCCGCCCTCGCCGCCTACCACGTCCTCCAGAAGCCCGGCCGAGCCGGAGGCGGCGCCGACCCGTACCTCGACTCGGTGCTGCGGATTGTGGAGCGGGAGAAGGTTGACCTCTGGGTCAGCTGCTCGGGCGTCGGCTCCGCAGTCGAGGACGGCGTCGTCAAGGAGGTCGTCGAGGCCCGCACGCGGTGCCGCGCCGTGCAGCCCGACGTCGCGCGCACCCGGATCCTGCACGAGAAGGATTCCTTCATGGACCACACGCGGGAGACGGGCTTGCGCGTGCCAGAGTCGTACCTCGTCACGAGCCGCCACGAGATGCTGGCCGCGCTGGAAGAGGCGTCGGGGGGCCTGTCCTACGACGCCGACTCCGAGACCGCCAAGAACAGGAAGCCGCGCTTCATCGCAAAGTCGGTGGGCGTCAACGACCGCGGCCGCGGCGACATGACGCTGCTGCCGCTGCCGACGGAGAAGGAGACGTACGACCACGTGTACCACCTCGAGTGGCTGGGCATGTCGGACAAGGAGCCCTGGCTGCTGCAGGAGTACATTGACGGCGACGAGTTTTGCACGCACGCGCTCGTGGTCCGCGGGGAGGTGAGGGCGTTTGTGGCGTGCCGGTCGGCGGAGCTGCTGATGCACTACGTCGCTTTGCCGGCCTCGTCGCCGCTGTCGAGGGCGATGCTCGAGTTTACGCGGAAGCAGGCTGCGTCGTTTGGGGATGCGTATACGGGCCACCTGAGTTTCGATTTCATGGTGAGCCACGAGGACGTTGCTGCGGCGGAGGCGGGGGATGGATGTAAGCCTGAGCAGCTGAAGCTGTATCCGATCGAGTGTAACCCGCGGGCGCACACGGCTGTCGCGTTGTTCGGAGAGACGCCGGACATGGTGGAGCAGTACCTGAGCGTACTTGACGAGACGGGAACCTTCGGGGGCAGTTTGGAGACGGATGTGGTGACGCCGAGGCGGCCGGCCAAGTATTACTGGATCGGACACGACCTCTTCACGCTGCTGCTGCTGCCCACGGCGAGGGTGCTGCTCTTCCGGATGTCGATTGCGGCGTACTGGCGGTCCGTGAAGACGTTTGTCGAGCACGTGCTGTTCTGGAAGGACGGGACGTTTGAGCTGTGGGATCCGTTGCCGATGTGGTGGCTCTATCACGTCTACTGGCCCATGATGTTCTGGGACTGCGTTGTGAACCGGCGGAGCTGGAGCCGGATCAATGTGAGCACTACAAAGATGTTTGAGTGCGATTGAGTAGTTTGGCATCAGTGTAGGTGCCGTGTTGATTGGCGATTTGCAATCCATGGCTACCTAGTACTTATTAGATGTCACATGTTGTTGACTTATCAAACCCTTGGAGCTTTATGATAGGAGCGTAGCCCAGGGAAGATCAAGAAAGTTAAAACTTCAAACTAGTAAAACTCATGATCAACGTGGATTCGGTGGCAGCTTTCTTGTTGGTGTCACATGGCAAGTAACACCACATACTAGGTAGATTTCGGACTTGACCCTTAGTGCCGGGATCAGCGGCCAAGAAAACTCAATTGCGACGCTCATGTCACTTTAGGGCGGAGGGTCCAAAACGCATATTTGACATTCGTTTGTCAAAACGGCGCCCTTTGCACTGGGATTGGGTTGACAATGGGTGTATTAGGCTTATAATCGGAGCCGTTCCGAGGGGATTCCGGCCGGTGTTCCGAGCGATAAACCCCGCGTTGAGCCGCCCCGCGCGGCTGGCTGACGAGTAGTCGAGTCCTCCGTACGCCACGACGAACAGCTTTCGACACCATTGACCTATTACATTACTGCATTTCGAATCCACCTTCCAAGAACCGGGGATTTAGGAAATCGGATAATGATGTGATGGGCGGGCCATGGTGGAGTACCAGATAGAGATACACACTTCCTCGTCGTCTATGAACAGCCGATCCTAGTCGGTGGACTGCTCTTGATTGGCTGGGCTGTTACTTACTACGTCCACAATACAATTGACTTCATCTCATGTGTGCGTCTCTCATACTGCTGGAAAGGTGGCATAAAAGGCTCGAGATATCTTCTCTATAAGACGGACAAATCCTGCCCTCCATACACGTACCCAGGCTCTGAGCGTAGAGCATCAGTATCAACACGTAGAGTTTCATTAGCAGACCTTCTTCAAGATGGACTCATCCGAATTTCGCACCGCGGCCGCAGAGGCCATAGAAGACAGTGAGTGTCTCATCACACTCCTTCTGAATCTCATCATCACCAAGCATCCTCACCCAAATCTCACCCTTCGACATCCTCTCACGAAAGCTCTCAGTCACTAACCACATATCCCTTCAGTCACAAAATACTACGACACAATCACCTCCCAACCCAAAGTCCTCCCCTCGGTGACCCCAGGCTACCTCCGCCCCCTCCTCCCGCAATCCGCCCCCGAGGACCCGGAATCATGGCAGACCATCCACGCCGACCTCCAATCCCACATCGTCCCCGGCATAACCCACTGGCAATCCCCTTCCTTCCACGCCTTCTTCCCCTGCTCCTCCTCCTACCCGGCCATGCTCGCCGAGCTCTACTCAAACGCCTTCAACGGCGCCCACTTCAACTGGATCTGCTCCCCCGCCGTCACCGAGCTCGAGACCATCGTCCTCGACTGGCTCGCCCAGCTCCTGAACCTGCCCCCCGCCTACCTCTCCACCGCGCCTACCCGCGGCGGCGGCGTCCTCCACGGCACCGCCTCCGAGGCCATCCTCACCGTCATGGTCGCCGCCCGCGACAAGTTCCTCCGCGCCCGCACCGCCCACCTCAACGCCGACTCGGACGAAAAGGAGGAGGAGACCTGGCGCCTGCGCTCCAAGCTCGTCGCCCTCGGCAGCGAAATGGCGCACTCGTCCACGAAGAAGGCGGCGCAGGTCCTCGGCGTCCGCTTCGCCACCGTCCCGGCCCCGGCGGAGACGGGCTACGCAATGTCCGGCGCCGCCCTCGCCTCCACCGTCGCCGCGCTCCGCGCAAAGGGGCTCGAGCCGTTCTACCTCACCGCGACACTCGGCACCACCGACACCTGCGCCGTCGACGACTTCCCGGGCATCAAGGACGCTCTCGCCTCGGACGAGCAGGACAGCATCTGGGTCCACGTCGACGCGGCCTACGCCGGCTCAGCCCTCATCCTCCCGCAAAACGCACACCTCACGGCGCCCTTTGCGGCGTTCCACTCCTTCAACGTGAACCCGCACAAGTGGATGCTCACAAACTTCGACTGCTCCGCCCTCTGGGTGCGCGACCGCGCCTGGCTCGTCGAGTCGCTGAGCATCAAACCCGCGTACCTGCGCAACCAGTTCTCCGAGGCCGGGTTGGTGACGGACTACCGCGACTGGCAGATCCCGCTCGGCCGGCGCTTCCGCAGCCTGAAGCTGTGGTTCGTGCTGCGGGCGTACGGCGCCAGCGGGATCCGGAAGCACCTGGAGAGGGGGATCCGTCTGGGCGAGAGGTTTGCGGAGATGGTGAAGTCGAGGGGGGATTTGTTTGAGATTGTGACGGGGCCGCGGTATGCTCTGGTCGTGTTCACGTGCAAGGCCGGTGATAGAGAGAAGAGCAACAAGGTGACGGAGGCGGTGTTGGAGGGCGTGAACGGGGAGGGGGTGATTTACTTGACGCCGACGACGCTGCATGGGTTGTATGGTATTCGCATGTGTACCGGGAGCAGCCAGATCATTGAGGAGGAGCACGTCCAGAAGGCGTTTGATATTATTGTTGCGGCTACCGAGAAGGCGCTTGCCGATGGGCAGTAGAGTTCTTATTAGAATCTTTTATCTTGGTACGTAGAATGCATCGAGTGAATAAACTAGGATATGAGTATACATGCTTGGACTTACGGCCCTTGAGCGCCCGATGAAGACTGCCATGTACAAAAGGGGAATGATGCTTTGGGTGCTGAAATTTCGATCTTGAACGTGACGCTGCATTATGACTCTTTTGTATAAGCTGCTTACGGTGACCAGATATCCCATACTTCAGTCACTCCCCATTTGATCTGGGCACAATGTAGCTATTCAATGGCCAAGAATGTAAGAAGTTGACAATGATCCACGTATCATACATGCAAGTGAGCGAGGTGAGATGATGCTGTACACCAAATTGTTGTCAGATGCAAGGCATGGTTTGAACTGCAGATATGTATGATTGAAATCTCAACGAAAGATCTGTTAAAAAAAAATCAATCAATGCAAAAACGTCTAAACCATATAAATGCTTCGCTCCAACAAAAGACCCAATTCCTTACTCTGAAAAGAGTATTGTGTCTGTATCTGTTTTCGATGTCTTCCATATGCAGAATCCACCCCATCTCATGCAAATCATAATCATTCTCATAATGTCGTTTAGTGATGCAGCGTCTTATGTTGAACCAGGGTACGCCGAGGATACACCCCACACTGGACCCTCTCTCTCTCCTGAACTCTCACCAATTCGAATAATACTCCCTCGACCTCGACACAGGAATACTCTGACTCCGTCTCCGCTCAGTATACCTAGGCCGACGGTCCCCATAGCCATAATCCCTCTCAAACTGGTCCACAGCCCTCACGTACTCCCTCCCTCCAACGCCCCTCACACTAATACTCTCCTCCCGCACAGCAGTCCCCCGCGTCGCCCTCGCATCAGAAACATCGCTCGGCGGCGGCGCATAGTCCCTCACGGACTTGTACTCCCTCTCATGCCAATCCGGGTCGTAGTAATCCCGATCACTCCTGTCATCCCGAAAACTCCTCCCGTCGTCGGTTCTGCCATCGTCGTCGTCGTCGTCGTATCTTCTGCCGTACCTCTCCCTATTCCTGCCCCTGTCTCTGTCATATCCAGCCTGGCTGCGACTGCTCCTCGGCGCGCGGGACCCCGACTGCCTCTCCCTCTGCCTCCGCCTCTCCTCCCTCCTGTCCTCCTCCTCGTGTTTTGCTTCTTTGCGCTTGAGCGAGTTGTCGATCCCAAAGGCGACCGTCGCGCCGATGAGGCCGAGGGCGATGGCCTGGCCCCAGTCGAAGCCGGCGACCTCCTTTTCGAATTCTTTGCGTTCTTTACGTTTTTCGGGTTCCGCTTTCCAGGGTCGTGGATCGGGTGGAAGGAGCTTGCTCGGCTTCACCATTTTGTATAGGTGTGTTTTGGTATGTGTGTGTGTTTTGTCTTTTCTCGTTGTTGACTTTGTATATGTTTCGGGCTCTTGAATATTGAGATGTAGATGATAAATAAGGTTGACGGTAGCTTATTTTATGGTTTCGATTTAGTGTCAAAGCCGGTTGTTCAACGTCCCCCGTTCTCGAACAGCTTCTTTGTTTCCGTTGTTCTTGATATACGTCTCGACGGTAAAGCGTGGTAAGGTTGGTGGTTTTGGCGTCCCCTCAGAACGGCATTAAAGTGCCGAAGGTGCCAAAAAGGAACGCAGCGGTACGTAGGATTATATATCTCAAAGGATTGCAGGTGGCGTCAAGGCCCCTCGTCGAGGATAGGGCAAGAGAGGCACAGAAGGGGAGGGGTACGGATGCCGAATTGAGACAAAATATGCAGGGGAGACTCTGACGGCGTTGCACTTCTCAACGGCAATCGGGAAGGGATCTGGATCGACTTGTGTGGCTTGCGTGCAGGGGGGGGATGGACCACACAAAGTGAATATCTTGGGTATGAAATGACAAGCACTACGGATATCAAGCACAAGAGAGACATTTGCTGGGCACATCTAGAAATTTAATACCTACCCAAGCTACACTAAACCATCCCCAGCCCCGGCCCCCTTCACCGCTGGACGCCGGCATTCCCCCGCATCCACTAGCTGAACAAGCCCGACACCTTTCGTGATCCATGTTTCGACTGCCGGGAGGCCTAGGGGGAGCTTGCCCATTGGGCTCGAGCTGGAAAGCTTGTCGTCACCATGCCTGCATGATGTCATGGGTTCGGCCCTGAAAGGCTGCCCTCCAGCCCCACTATACCGCTGGTCTTACCCCATCATTCCCGCCAAGCCGTTGACGTCAAAAGCGTTCTCGATCTGGCCATAGCTCCCGGGCCTCACCATTCTCCATCCAATTGCTCCAGAGCGAAAACCGCTCCACCAAACAACAAATGAGGCCCGGGCAGCATCAGCACTGCAGCAGTGCAACACAGTTCCGACAGGCTACAGCTCGAGAGCCCAAATGCCTTACAACAAAACCATCATGAGACCATCGTGCCGCCCTTGCCATGGTACACTCGTGAGGCATGAGTCGTGCCCTCTTATCCGAACACCTGCGCAAACTCTCCCGTACACCCTCGGGGAACAGATCCTGTCTTAGCCACGAGGGCCAGCAGGGTTCCCCCCCTCTGGTCTAGGTTGAACGCCCGTGACAAGCGGTTGACGCCGGCACCGCCAACCGCGGGAAGCAAGCACGCAAGAGACATCAATTTGAGGCACACATCGCAAAGGGAAACATGTTGATCTGTTGTGGCAGTGCAAAGGTGGTATCATTCATGCTCCTCGTGTAGGCAAATCATGTCTAAAGGTCTGAGAATCTATTAGATGCTGGCTCTCCTGGGTGCCATGGTCCGCCGCATCGCCTTCTTTGCTTCCGTTTCTTCCATGAACGGCAACGACCCGTCGTTTCTAAGCTTCTGCAAATACTCCTGTCCATACTTGTATCCCATTTGATAGAGCTCATCAAACTTGCCAAAGTCGAGCGTGCCATAGTCATCAATGGGAGGCCGCATGTAAAAGCAGCCTGGCATCGTCTTCGCCCGTTCCAGGGCATCGACACTAGACACGTAAGCCAGTCTAGCCTGAATCTCGGCCAATGTCGGCGGGTTGGCTGTGCCCGAGAACGGATTCCACCGATTCCAGAATGCCCACACTCCCGACAGCGAATCACCATACGCCTGTGGAGTATCGTCGTCCAGTGACCCAACGTCAACTGAAAAGATGGTGTCCACACCCAGCCTCTTCATGTGAGAGACAGTCAGATTATCAATGTAGCCACCATCCAACAGCATGCTGCCCTCATCACAGAGTGGTGGGAGCAAGCCAGCCAGTGACATGGAAGCTCTAATGTATCTCCACGCATAGCCACTGGTGTGGTATTCGATTCGGCTCTTGCTGATGTTTGTCGTGTTACAATAGTACTCGAGCCAAAAGTCTTCAATCTGAGTCTTGCCAAACGTCTTGAAAATACCCCGATTGAACTCATGGCCCGTGGTGTAAGACGCAGTCGGGTATGTGAGATCGAGAGCGAAACGCCACATGCTGGCCATGCGGCCAGAAAACTTCTTGGCGAGGCCGAAGATGGGAACAACATCGGCATGACGGGCGTAGAGAGCGCCGATGAACGCGCCGATGGAGGTTCCGCCAACAACGTCAATGGGGATGCCAGACTCTTCCATGGCCTGAATGATGCCGATTTGGGTGATGCCTCTTGCGCCGCCACCACCTAGGACGAGGCCAACAGATTTGCCGCAGAGACGTCTCGCCAGACGATGGAAATCGCCCTTGTAGGGTGCATCCGGAGAGTAGAATGGACTGTGCCGAACCTTCCTCGAAGTGTACTTTTGGATCTCCGCCTGGATGATCTGAACCCGTTCCTTCAAGGTGCTCGTTCGCTTTGAGGGCGGATGCGCAGGCATGATGTTTGCCCCGAGAGCCATTTGGACATGGTAGTGTCCACCGTTGATCCACATCCGATTCCTCAGCCAGGCTCGAGTCAACCCCGACTGGGAGTACCTCTCAGAATGGAGAAGAACGAGAAGCTTCCTCGCAGTCGACTTCATGCCCAACATGAAACGCTCGTACTCTCCAATCTCCGGAGATCCTTCAGCAAGACCAACAAGAAGGATGCAATCCGCCTGAGTGATGCATGTCTGAGTCCATGGAGAATTGACGTTGGTGTCTGATGCAAAGTTAGCATCGGTGTTTAAGCAACGAGTGTCATCAACAAGCGTGAGATAGGTAGTCCAATCAGGAAAAAATTAGAGTATGTTTGGCCATCAACGGCTTTTGCCTCCGCAAACGGTGTTTGTTCATCATAAAAAGGACAGTGTAGGTGAATAGAGAAAAAAGAAAGAGAGATCTTACCTGCGACGTATACGACGAGGCCATACTTTTCCTCGAGGTCAGCCAAGTATTGGGAAAGCTTCAGCTTTCCCATCTTGTTGAAAGCATGCTTGCCGAGATGGTTGAGAATGGCAGATTGGTTGAGGGAGGTGGCACCGTTTGCAGGGCCAACTTGAGACAAGGCGTTCATCAACCTATTACCAAACTCAACCACAGGAACACCAGAAGTCACAGGCAAGATCGCGACGGTCCTCAGGTTGAGTGACGAAGAGCCTTTGGTGATTGTGTTGGCGTTGCCTGCCTCCTTGGAGAGAAGCTGTGAGGGGTCATCAACGAGGTTCCTCATCCGCGACGCAATGATCTTGGAAATTTTGATCGTGATGTTTGGGTGCTCCTGGGCAAGACTGTTGAAAAGTGTGCGCGGGAATTTGACCAGCTCAGTCTGACGGATGGCATGGAGCGTGCCTGGTCTCACAGACTCCGTCAAGACTTCGAGTTCACCCACACTCTCGCCCTGACCGAACTCGGCTCGCACACTGACACCGCCATCTTTCCTGTCCTGCACGAGACGAAGTCGGCCGTTGAGAACGATGTGAATGGCCTCGCTCTCCTCGCCCTCATGGAAAAGCACTTGACCAGCATCAACCTGCTCCCAGTCAAGAGCAAAGTCGATGTGCATAATCAGACGCGGGAGCAAGCTCGTCAGTCGCTTGGCCATTGTAAGCAGGACAATGGGATAACGGTCGACGATCCTCTCGAGAGCGGAACGCGGCAGAAAGCCGACATAGACGTCCGTCTTGGCCACGACATCGATAAAAGATCGGTACGACGACACTGTGCCTACGTATCCAGCAAGGCCACCTGGCTTGATGAGTGACACACTGCGGCGATAGGGCTGCTTCTTCTTCGCGTCCGTATGATCAGGCGGATATGCAGGAGACCCATCCATACCCATGTGGTCAGTGTGCAGAGTCGTTCTACTTGAGGACTGCAAAATGTCTGCTGAGGTGTCCTCCTTCGACGTGCAAATGTCGAGGAAGCCGTCAACAACGTAGTAGAGGCCAGGATTGCGCTCGCCTTGCTCAACCAAAACGGAACCCTTGGGGAAGAAGACAATCTCCACATCATCCTTCATATCGCTTGCCAGGATGTGCGCATTGGGTGGCGTGTTCAGTGTAAAGCCTCCAGATGTCATGGACTCCGTGTCTCCATCACCAGAGGCATCGAAAGGGCCCATTAGACCGAATGCATTGTTGCCCAGTCCAGGTCTCGATCGCCTCTGGTCATAAGAGAAGAGCCGCGGGGACCCTTCGACAGACTCGGCCTCACGGGAGACACTTCCGTTGCTACTTAGACCGATCGCCTTGAACATACATTCAAGGATGGACTGACGGAAGAGGTTGTCTTCATCCAGGGACTCTCGGCCGTCGATCGAGCCTCGAGACTGCCTCTGGGTTGTGAACGGGTTGAAGGCTCGCTGGGCAAGCGGGCTTGTACCCTCGTGACGGAGAGCGTCAGCGACTTGTTCGAGGTGAACACTCGCTGAACCAGATGGTCGGTGGCCAATATGCCGTGCTGACTGGATGTTGGCCAAAAGATCACCAGGACTGGTCTGAGTGGAAGCTCTCTCCCTTGGCGGTCCGATGGTAGTAGCGACCTGAGAAAATGACCTCTCCTTGGTAGTCATGGAATGCATCATTGCATCCTTACGAAGAGTCGAAGTTGACTTCCGCCGACGATGCGCATTGGCGTTATGTAGTGCAATGCCTTTGCTCTCCGATTCGCCGCCCACTCTCTCTCGCTCCCGATCAAACTTCTCCTTCAGACGCTGCAAGGCATCGCCCCTAAGCATGTTGGGCAACTGACATGAGGTGAAAGAAAGCATGTTCTTCTCCGTCTGCAGGACTTCACCAGTGAGCCCCAGGTAATTGTAAGCCGTCGCCAATGTAACTCTCTGGAAACGGGAGAGAATGACTTGAACAATGTGGGACGTGGCCTTGGGGTAGACCTTGGTGAGCCGGCGAAATGCGCTTGCTGGAATGATGGCGATAGTCGTGTCTACCGTCGCCCTTGCAATGATATCTGGGTGCGCTGAGCCAGAAGTCGCTCGACTCTGAAGAGGAGGGCGCTTCGGCTGGCGAGCACTGCTGGGGACGCTGCCGCTGCTGTCAAGCGAGATGGGTGGAATTCTTGCGCTGCCAGGCAAATTGGGTGTGGTAGCCCGCTTTGGAGGCTCCTCAATTCTCACCCCAGTCCTTTCCTCCGAGGTCTCTGGGAACTCGGGAGTCGCTGGGAACGGACTCGCAGGGTCTGATGGCATGCGGCGGAAGCCTGCGGTGCGCGGGAATGGTGAGGTTCTCAGTCCACCACTGCCCGAGGTGGGTTCCGGGGTGTCGTCATCTGTCGAACGAAGCTTGACGTCTTCCGTGAACAGTGACATGATGGAGAAGAGAGACGACATGGGAGCTCCATTGCGAACCTCTGTGAGCAATTGGTATCTTTGCTGTGGGACTGACGACATGTCGTCGTCTTCTCCAGGATAGGCAGACTCTCCCCCGAAGCTGTCGCAAGGGTCCGGATCCATGGCTCTAGCATTTCGGCCAGATTTGACAAAGATTTCCAC